TAAGATGTTGGGCTGGGTGTGAAGTGCTGGGAAAAAGTAGAAAATGCAGTTTTAAAATAGTGATTATACTTACAGTCACTATTTAAAATGGCCTGAGGCCTGCCAGTGTGACAGACATGCAAAAAAGCAGAAAATCAGGAAGGAGTCCCCTTTTTTAGTTTTTCCCAGGACTGTAACAATCAGCTGTTTCTGTCATTTGCTGATGCGCTTACAGTTGGCTGCATGTATTTGGTTGTGTTTTACAGTATTTCAGAGTTTTGTAAATGGAGGATGAGAAAATGAGTCTACACCCACTTGTAATCCAGAGCTTATCTTCACAAAGCTTAGAAGAGGATGAAACACAATCAGCCACAGGGCTATTGTCAAAACACCAGTGGAAGCTGAGGGTCATCCGGGGGTACGCATTGTTGTCATAGCAACAAATGCGTCTTTCATTTCCGCGGATTTGAAGGATGGGTCGGGTGTGTCCTTCGTGGCCCAAGCTATCCCAGAATTCAAAGCGCAGCCCAGCCAATTCCAGTCTCAACAATGGAGGCAGCTACTTAGTTTCAATATTACTCTTATTAATCATTCTGGGTCACAAAATAAACGTTTAACATATTTTCAGGTGAGAATGTAGCTGTGGAAAGTTCAAATATCTGCTCAGTTTATCAAGATATCACATAATTACAAAAGTGCTCCGATGTTTTCGGAGACGTTGGTTACCCACCAGCTCGATACCTAGAAGAGAACAGATAACTCGTGGCACATAGTTTTCGCTACTCAGGTTAAAAATTATCTATAAGCCACTCAGATAACTTAAAAAAATTTATTGTTTGACTATTTCCAATGTTTTATTTGTTCCTGAGTAAATCGGTTCAGCTGAGATTAAAGTTATAGTTTTCACAGCTGAATAGACGTCAAACAGAAAACCGATTAAACAGAAGTGTAAGATGGTAGAGAACGTACTCCAGTGTCCTGTTATATTTTAGCAAGCAAGGAGCAGACGGCTGAGTTTATTAAACTCCATCGAGACAGCTGGTGACACAAATCTGAAGGGTGCGGCCTAGAAATTTGGGAAAATTGGGACACTGCTATGTAAAGCCATAACCAATTGGCTAGTGCAGTATACAGAAACATCTTTGCCAAGTATGGCTGGAGGTACCAAGGTCAAAATGAGAGACACCCCCTTGGGTGGCGGAGAATGACCGAGCTAAGATCCTGTGGGACTTCCATATACAGATGGAGAAGCTGGTGGTGACTAACCAGCCGGACATAATGATGGTAGATAAGCAACAGAAAATGGCCGTAGTGATCGATGTAGCGATCCTGAATGACAGCAACATCAGGAAGAAGGAATATGAGAAGGTTGAGGAATGCCAGGGGCTCAGAGAAGAGCTCGAGAAGGTGTAGACGGTGAAGGTATCAGTGATAATCGGAGCACTAGGTGCAGTGACTCCAGCAGATCCCGGGAACATCGGAGATCTCACAATCCTAGGAACAGCAAAGATACTGCGCAG